CCTCAGTCTCCCAAGCTGACCTAGAACTTGCAGTGATTCTCCTGCCTCAGTCTCTCAAGTGCTGGGATTACAGATGTGTGCCACATCTGGAAGTATAGGATTTTAAAGGATTTAATCATTTCTTCCACTTGTTGCTACTGCCCTCATGAACATGACCAAACCTGAGGTTTTAATGACCTTGTATTTCTCCTTTTTTCATTTGGTTATGATAGCTTCCTGCAACCCAAATCCCTATCAACTGAGGAATGGATAAAAGTTGCGGTATTTTTATATAATGGACTATTACTCAGCTATAAAGATAAATTCAAGGCTTTTATAGGTAAATGGACACAACTGGAGACCACAGTCATAAGTGAAATAAATCAGACCCGCATGTGTAAATTCCGTATTGTCTGTGTGGTGTAAGAACCTGAAAGAGTGAATAAAAGCTAGGAGGTATGATAAATATTGCAAAAGTTAAGGAAACTGCTCAAAAGAACAGCTGGGTGAGGAAAAAGAGAAGAGAAGGGGAAAATTATGTATCTATGTATACACAGGATAGCTAACATAGTTGTACTACTGACTTCTATTGCTTTATTGAAAAGAATAGTTAGTGTTTAATTGTTTGATCAATCTTACATGTTTGTTTACCTGAGTAACCAATTTGAAGATATCAATATGTAATACAATAACCAGTTAATTTCTTATCACCTTGTCTGAAATTCTGTATTGCTTATATTGTTTTTGTGTTATTTTTGTAAATGTATGTGTGTTTGTTAATGTTTTCATTCTTTTATCTTTAAAATTAAAAAAAGATGATAGCGTCCTACAGGGCTTGGTTGCATTACCACCCTTCACCAGCAGAGGATGCTCTCTAGCAAAGCGCGCCATTCTCTCTTGGCCCTATTAGATTCTGGCTTTAAATGTGAAATACATTCATGCTTTATTTTTAGTTTTAGATGCTTTAAAAGAGTTTATTTTTATACAGTTGGGTTGGAGAGGCTTTTGGAAAAGTGACAGCTCTGAGTTGCCAAAGTTTCTCACTTGCTGTTAACTAGAACTACATATTCTTTATTAATTTAGCCTCCGAGGTTCTGAGCAGGTATCGATTCTGTGGCAAACTCTTTTTCTTGCTGTCACTTCCACAAAGCAGAGTGCTCCGGGTTCAGTCTGAGCTGGGAATCAGTTGCTTAAGTTTTCTGAGCTCAGTGCACCATCATCCTCTCTGAATCTCAGTGTTCCTATTGGTTGAATGGAAACTCCATTAAGATAGTTCTTCTCCTTTGCTTTACTATTCTGTCCCTAGTACCTAGAATAGTACTAGATTTTTGATAGGTCATAAAAATATAGTTGTTAAATACATGAATACATCTCTAAGAGGAAAATAAGAATTCTGTCAGTGTCCAGGATTGCTGGGAGGGTTGAGTAAGATCATTGAAACCACTTAAGCATATGTCTGGGGCAGAGTGGCTATTCAGTAAAGTGAGTCTCTTACGGTTTCATGTCACTACATCATAATTATCTGGGCATCGTGTGTCTCAGCCCCGAACCTTGCATGCTCCTTCTCCCTGAGGGCGTGGCAGGTATTTAGGGCTTAAGCCTGTGGGATGACTGGGTGGTTAAGTGCTTCTGTTTGTTCCTGCAGGTGTTTCATCGCTGATTTGCCGCAGTTGCAGGACAGCTTTGTGGACAAACTCCTTGACCTTATGCCCCGACTCATGACATCTAAACCTGCAGAAGTGGTCAAAATTCTGCAGACCATGCTGCGCCAGAGTGCCTTCCTGCACCTTCCCCTTCCAGAGCAGGTCAGGGCTATGTCACACCGCTTCAGGCCAAGTCTGCCCAGACAGTGAAACCTGTCTGTGGAGCAGCTTGGCAAGGGCCCGCCCTGTGATCGTCTCGGCACGCCCCCACCCTTTAGATAAGGAGAGGGAAGAGCAATTATGTTTTGTTGCCCCAGCTTGACCCAGGTTTAGAATCATTGTATTTTCTTGTTTACAGATCCACAAAGCCTCAGCCACCATCATTGAGCCAGCGGGCGAGTCAGACAACCCTTTGCGATTTACATCTGGATTGGTGGTGGCTCTGGATGTTGATGCAACCCTGGAACACGTGCAGGACCCGCAGGGCACTGTGAAGGTCCAGGTTGGTTGGAGTTCGAGTTCCAACACCTTTAGGTGTTCCTTGTAATGAGGCATTTCACTTTAGAACCCCTGTAATCTCCGCCTGAGGGACTGAAAGTGGGAGGAGAAGAGATGAGCCTCTGTGCTGACAGACGTGGGCCTGAAGCGCAGCTCTACTGCTGAGCAGCTCTACCCTGCGGCCCAAGTTAGACTTCGAGCCTCAGATTCTACAACTGACAAATAGGAATAGTTGAATTGAAATAAATGTCCAGAATGGTTCATGGAATGACCTTTTGTTCTTACAGTGGAAAGTTTAAGATTTCATTCTTAGCACAGGGATGAAAAAAAGATTGAGGTGCTTATAGGCCTTGTACTCCAGAGACTGAGGTAAGAGCATCACTTGCGCAGGAATTCAAGACCAATCTGGGCAACAGAGCAAGACTCCACCTTTTTAAACTTTTTTTTGAGACAGTGTCTCCCTGTATAGTTCAGGCTGGCCTTGAACTATGTAGCGTATGCTAGCCTTAAACTCGCAGCAATTCACCTGACTCAGACTCTTGAGTGCTGGGATTATAGATATGTACCATCACTCCTGGATCCATCTTAAAAACAGAAGAAAAAAAAGGACTTTATTCTTTTTTGGTACTGGGATTGAACCCATAGTCTCAGACCTGTTAGGCAGTGCTCTACTGGTGAGCTGTATCTCCAGCCTTTAAAAATTTTGAGGAAAGGTCTTGCCAAGTTGCCCAGGCTGTCTTGAACTTTTGATCCTCCTGCCTCACCTCCTTGGTAGCAGGGTTTACAGGCATGTGCCACCACATCCAGACACTTGACCTTTTTTTCTTGAGACAGGGTCTTGCTGTGTAGTTAAAGCTGGCCTTGAACTTGCAGTGATCCTATTGCCTCAGCCTTTCAAGTGCTGGGATTATAGGCTTGTGCCATCACGCCTGGCATGACTTGATCTGTTATTAAAGAAAATTGTAATAAACAAGACTTTCCTAGGCCATAGGTGGGTCAACTGGAAAGAAAAATGTATAGATAGGAAAAAGAAATGACTATGTATTTTTTCTTGAGCCAGCTAGATATATTAGAGACACACAGAGATGTTGTAGGTACTAATCAATTCAGACAGCCTGCAGTTAAGCTCCACCCCTCCATCCAGCCATCCTGTTCATTCATGCACATGTGCGTTAGTGGTTACTCTGCTGTACTTGCTAATGACTGCAGCTGTCACGGTAAGTACATCAGCTTCTGCTCTCAGGATGCTCAGCTGCATTGGACAGGCAGCTGTGGAATAGAAGTTCAGTAGGACACACTCAGAGATAACTTGAAAGTATTGTAGTGGAGCTGAAGGAAAGGCTTTGTGGAGATGCTGGTGCCTAGAGGGATTTGAAACGAAGAACAGGGGAAAGAAGAAGGGGAAAGGGAAGTGTTCTAGACGTGTAAAAGCAGAAATGTGAGCACTGGTGCTGAGTACTGTACAGTCAGGACAGAAAACTGCAGCAGTCAGGAAAAGCTTCCTGGAGGAGGTAAGGATGTGCATCAAGCCCTGAAGATGGTACTTTTGGCTGTGGTGACAGTGCAGGATCAAGACTCTGCCCTCTCAGCAGGAGTTATCACAAATCTATGAGACCTACAGGGAGCTCATTCTGAGCTAGCTGTGAAGTTGTACTGCACTTTATATTACGTCTTTCCTCACATTTATGGTTTTCCATGCTAGCTGCACTTTCTTTTTTTTTTTGGTCTTTTTTGAGACAGGGTCTCACAATGCAGTTCAGGCTGGCCTTGAGCTCACTTCGTCGCCCAGGCTGGCCTTGAACTTGCAGCAATCCTCCCGCCTCAGCCTCCCGAGTGCTGGGATTACAGGCATGTGCCACCATGCCTGGTGCTAGCTGCACTTTTAATTACTCAGAAGCATTAAAAAATACTGATGAGAGCCAAGTGTGGTGGTGCATGCCTGTAATCCCAGCTCAGGAGGCTGAGGCAAGCCGAGCGTGGTGGCACACACCTGTAATCCCAGCACTCGGGAGGCTGGGGCAGGAGGATTGTTGTGCATCTGAGGCCAGCCTGGGCTACAAAGTGAGCTCAAGGCCAGCCTGAACTGCATAGCGAGACCCTGTCTCAAAAAGACAAAAAAAAAAAAAGGAGGCTGAGGCAAGAGGATTGCTGCAAGTTTGAGGTCAGCCTATGCTATATAGTGAATTCAATGCTAGCCTGAACTACATAGCAAAACCCTGTCTCAAACAAAACCAAACGCCAAAATGACAACAATAACAGAAAACAAACAAAAAGTACTGATAAACAGGTTACAACCCATACCAATTAAATCAGCGGTACCAGTATTGTTTTTAAGAGATCATAGGTGATTCTAATGGGCGGTCAGTGATTCTGAACACCACTGTTTGACACTGTCCATGACAAAACATTCCCTGATGAACTAATCATACGTGAGATCACAGTATGGTTCATTTGCCAGGCTGTCCTTCAGTTTTCATCCCTGAACCACCTCCATGTCCCGCATAGGGAAAGTGGTGCTTCTACAAGTGGGAGCTGGGGCTCTCAGTGCCTGGTCTTGGGGAAGCTCCAGTGCGCTGAAAAGTGCTCTCCAGCCCAGCCGCACGGCCTGAGTTCCTTGTCTGTGCTTTGGTGCTAGCATGTAGTCGTAAACATGCCTTGGAGAGTACAGTCTCCTCAGAGGATGTGTATGTGTTCTTAAATGCAGACCCTCCCAGGACTTTAGTAATACTTGTTAGCATAATGCAGGTATTATACTCAAATTGCAAGAGATGTGACTGGATGTGGTGGTGCACACCTGTAATGCCAGCACACTGGGAGGCAGAGGCAGGAGGATCACAAGTTCATGCCACACCTGGGTAATTTAGTGACTTGGTGAGACCTTGTCTCAAAATAAAATACAAAAAAGGGCTGAAGATGTTGTTCAGTGATAAAGCCTTGGGTTTAGTCTCCAGTAATTCAGCAAAAAAGAGAGAAAGAGATTGGTTTGTAATTGTTCGAAATTCAAAATATAGTTCGTGCTGGCCATTTTCTTCCCTGATCTACTTGGGCTGCAGATTTCTTAGCTTCCGTCTTGGCAGCAGTAGAAGGGAAAAAGGACAGCCTCCGAGCACCTGTCTCACAGAAGAGCTGAGCGTTTCACCACCGCAGTGTGCTGAGAGTGCTGGGAGATTCTGCTGTCTGTGTCCACCCTCCTCTGGCCGTCCCTTCTGAAAAATGAAGCATATGAACTTGTTTTTAAAGATAACAAGAATCTGGAAGTGGGGACACCAGCTTCTTTCTTCTGTAGTTGCTTTGGGGCACACAGCCTGGAAGAGCGTGAGGAGAAAGCTTAAGGAAGGGTGGCCAGGCTCCCTGGCCTGTGGTGCCAGCTACTTGTGAGGCTGAGCCTGGGAGGTCAGGCCTGCTGTGCACTTTGCCGATCAGGTGTCCCTGCCGAGTGTCAGCTGTGGGATTATGCCAGTGACTTCCAGCCTGTGCACACGGTGTGAACCTGTCTCTTAAGTTAAAAAACAGAAGGGAAGAACTGGGGGACCTGAGGAGAGACAAAAGATGCTTATGGGGCAAGCTGGCAAATACAAGCTTCCCTGAAGTTTGAAGCTGAAAGAACTGTGTAGCTCCCTAGCATGCCCTTATCAGTGTATTTACACACAGCAGGTCCTACCTGGGCCTGTGACCAGCCTCCGTTGTGCTTCTGCTTCATGGGTACTCTGGGTTGTGTATCGGGTGCTCTACATAGGTAGCTGGCAGGCCCTCGCGATGCCGAGGAAAGAATGACGGCAGTTTGTGAGATGTGAAGCCTGGCCAGTGATCTGAGCACACCCTTCACTGAGTACTCTGTAGAAAGAGACAGATAATTGTTTTCCTAGCCGCTTAAAACTTAGTACAGAAAATTAAAAATCGAGTACAAAAAAACTCTGTCTGGTGATGGATGCTGGGCCCTGCCTGACATGTTTCAGAGTGAAAGAAGGGTCACTCTGGTGGGGTGCTTGGGAGGGTTGTCCCAGTCAGAATTAATATTTTTACCTCTTATTGTACTTAATTATCAGGAATTGAGGAAACATATACTGCTTGTTTCTAGGGCAGAGGGTTTATAGATCTCTCTGTAATCTTGGTGTCTCCTCAAGGAACAGCCTTTCATGACCTGGTTTCATCTCTCTTTCTGTTTTTGGGTTCAAAGTAGGTGCCACTGTCAATTTTCTTAGCTCTTCTGTCCCTCCTCTTAGGTCTTATATCCAGATGGCCAGGCTCAGATGATCCACCCCAAGCCAGCAGACTTCCGGAATCCTGGCCCAGGGCGCCACCGTCTCATCACTCAGGTGTACCTCTCCCATACTGCCTGGACAGGTAAGGAGCCAGTGGCCACGGCGGGTAGGAAAAGAGGCTCCTGGAGGTCACTTCTGCCCTTCAGCATTTGCTTTTTGCAGTTTGAAAAAAAATATACATACTTGCATCATATGTGCTGAGGATTGAACTTGATTCTGTAAGGATTTCATAAGCTCAGACAGGGTACCTTTGGACTAATTTGCTGCACTGATTGCAGGAGGAACAAGATTCTGGAGATTATAATAGAATGCAGTCTCCTGGAAAAGTCCCCGGGCTGCATGCCAGGAGACTGCTTTCTTGTTCTCTGTTAATGAACTGGGCAAGTCATTCTGTTTTTCTCACCTTCAAAATGAAGATGATAATTCCCAACCTGTAAATTATTTGTGAGGGTTACTTTGGAAATTAAATAGTTTCAGGTTTCTTCCCAAAGTTTTAAAATCTCTATTTGTATCTAAATAGTTCAGTTTATTCCCTTCAAACAAGTAACAAGCTAACTGTTCTTCCTGTCCACATGGGCTGGCTTATGGGATAATGCAGAGTAAGATGATACGTTCATGGAGCAACTGAGTAGACCCAGACTAGTTTATGAAAACTGTGTAAATACTTCTTTTTGCTTCTTCAGATCTTTAAAAATAAAATGAGAGATGTGGGCGCAGAGTTGTAACACTGCAGGCCTGTAAGGCTATTTTGGAAAACTTCAAAAGAGACTCAGTCTGTAGAACCTATAATGCAGGGCACAATTTGCCTCAGTGGTGTTTGCTAAATCACTGACAATGACTCGAGAACAAGGCTTTTTGCTGCCTGGCAAGCGCAAGGCCCTGAGTTCGATTCCCAGTACTCCCCTCCCCCAAAAAAAGACTGGCCTTTACTAGAAACAGTGTTCTTTAAAAAATGTTTTATAACCTCATGTGTGTAGCACATGATTACATTCATTGTGGGGTGTGGGTGCATGTACACAACACATCCTAATTCTTCATCGCCTTCTCCTCCCATCCCTCCCCAAAAAGGTGTTTGATGGCACCAAATTTGGTTTATTTTAGAATTAGGGGGATGCCTTCTGGAATTTTTGTTCATTTTGTGTTTAAAAATACATGAAGAATATTTGTTTGTCTTTGGTACCAGGAATTGAACTCAGGCCCGTGTGCTTGCCAGGCAGGCACTTGTGCCGCTGGGCTATATCCCTCGTCCCTACACGAAGAATATTTAACGCCGTTATGAATGGTTTCTGTCAGCAGCAGTGGATGTCTACTGAAGACTCTGGGGTGTCCACAAAGGGACAGTAGAGTAGTACCATTGAATGTTAAGGAGCCTGTTTGGGATTCTCGTGATCCAAAGTCAGGCATAGGTGAGGGAGCATCCAGCAGTGCTTTTACCCAGTACTGCTTCCCTGAGCATTCCCCATTCCACATCTTTGCATCCTGCCGTATTTCTGTAACTGCTTGCCTAAACCACTAACTCCTTAGGAGAGTGCCCCCCACCCCCTTCTGCAGTCCTTGTGATCAGACGCAGGCTGTCTTGCATGCTGGGGAAGTGTGTTATGGCAGAGGCACATTGCCGGGCTCTTCGATGCAGGACTCCTAGACACAGAGAAGGGTATGCGGTCACACAGTTTGGGGTTTTTGGTGGGGAGACCATGGTCTCACTAAGTTGTCCCGGTGGGCCTTGGACTCAGGGTCCTTCCGACTCAGGTTCGAGAGTAGCTGGGAGGACAGGTGTGCGTTTCTGCTCCTGGCTCTTGAAGCAGTTGTTTGGTAAGGGCAGTGTCCAGGGAAGCAGAGCGAAGCATGCTAGGGTTCAGATGAGCTCGGAAGGTCCTGGGAGAACGACTGACTCGCCCTTGGTCACGCAGCAAGGGATTCTGACACCAGAGCTAGAACCTAGGTCTGAGGCTGTCTGCTTCCAAGCTCAAGCTTCTTTCTATGAGGACGTTTCCTCTGAAGGTATTCTGGTTTATTGTAGAGCACCCCCCGCTTTTTTTTAAACTGCTAGGCTGTCCTGAGCCTGAAGAATTCTAACTCATCCTAGATCATCTCTGATCATTTGCTCCCCTGCCACCATTACAAATTCCCATTTAAAGTCTCTGCATAGCATTTGTTCATGTCAGATATTTTCGCACTTAATTGTTCATTTGATATTCTCTCCTATCTGACCATACTTCCTGGAAGTAAGGAACTTGCTTGTCTTTCTTCAGTGTCCCTAGTATCCCTATATCTTCTGCCCCTGGTCCCCAGTGTATGGTCTCTCAACAAGTAGTACAAGTGGAATACGTGCTTCTGATTATGCAGTTGAAATCCAGTTAATCCTTAGGCCAACTCTGGTAGGAATCAGTCTTCTCCATTTCCCAGATGCACACTTGGAGGCCCACACAGCTGCTCAGTGACGGAGCTGAGCTGGCGCTCAGACTTCTGGCTCCCGGATACCGCCCGTTTTCACTCTGCTGTGCTCCCTCTGGTCTGGGATGAGAACTTGAGACATGCTCTCATGCTAAATGCACTTGTCCCTTCTGTCTCTTCTCATGGGGGATGGAGCCTGGAATTTGTGGGAGCCCCGCCAGTCCCCCTGCAGCTCCACACCAGAGCTGCTCCTGTGGGCAGCAGGATGCTGCCCTGGCAGAAGCTGAGTCTCATAGACCAGGTTTCAAATTCTGCCTTCCTCACTGTGTGATCCTGAGGAAGTTATTTTATATTTGGGTGTGATTTTCCTAATCTTTCAGATGGAAATAAAAGCCAGCAGTGGTGGTGTACTCCTGTAATTCCAGCACTGTGGGAGGTTGAGGCAAGAGGATAGTATGTTCAAGCCAGGCCTGGACAGTTAGCACCTTAGCAAGACCCTGTCTCAAAAAGTAAAAATAAAAAGAGCTGGGGATGTAGCTCAGTGTGAAGGCTCTGGATTCAATCTTCAGCCCTTGACCCCAAAAAGGGAACTAAGAGTATAAACCTCCTAGCTTTTTCCAGGCATGATGGATAGGCTGTATGATTTGTCTCAGATGATATTTTGTCTCTTCTCTCCTGTTTTTTCTCCTTTCCTCCTATGCCATTTTCTTGAATTGCCATTCTTACCAAATTCTGATGAGGGAAGGCATAACGACCCCGCAGAGTCGAGTGCTACATCTCTCCCACCCATCTTTACCAGGATTTGGCTCTTGAAAGTTCTGGGAAACCGCACACATGGCTGTGGTCTGATGTCTGGGATGGAATGAGTGTGTGTGGCAGACTACAAGGGCAGGGCTAGTGTCCCTGCAGGTTCACTCCTGGTGGATGGGAGGCGCCGTGCCATGTGGGCATGTGTGCCTCATGGCAGGTAAATGCTGGTGGGAGGCTGCAGTCAGAATCATGCTGAACTCTGGGGTTGGCAAGGATGTTTTGGCTTTGGCTGCCTGCAAACCTTTCTATTCTGCAAGGTGCCACTGGAAGCCTGCAAGTGAGCAGGAACAGGCCTGGGGGAGCACTGAGAAATCCTGGTGCCTCTGCCCTTATTCCTTTCCATGCCACTCCTACCTGCTCAACCTCTTAGCCTGGGGCTTGACTTTAACTGTTGCGCCTTTTGTTCAGCTGCCCCTAAGTAAGGAGGACACGCCAAACTCATTCTGCTCCAGGCCTTTGAACTTGCCTTTGGGTTATTCTAAATCCTCTCCCCCTTCTTCAGCATGGAAGCCATATGGTTAAAAGAAAGATCAATTGATTCACTTTGTGAGCAGGTTCAAGTTTTTGTCACAGCTATGGATTTGGGCATTCACTTAGAACCTGTCTCCGCCACAGGACTTTTTTCAAGACAGTACAGTCTTTCTTTCATCATGTGGCAGGGTAAGAATTCTTGGGGTTCAAGGTAGTTAAAGTACATACTCCCCAGTAGGTAGGGCCTACAACCCCTTCCAGCTGAAGGAAGCTATAGAACAGAGACCTCCACTCCCTCAGCACCCAATAAAGAATTATAGGGATATGTGTCTCTCAGGGAAAAATGGGACAGGAGACTAGGGTGTGGCAAAGCTGGCTGGGGAAGTGAATGTGACCTGTTAATTACAAAATCCAAGACACATGCTCAGAGAAGTGCCAAAGCCCTGCTTATAGACTTCTCATGAGAACTGGAGTAGTCTTTTGATAGGATGACCTAGACCTGACTCCAGCCTGAGAACTGGCCCATCCAAAATGACAGACCACATCAAGTTTTGGCCAATGTGTTCCCTCTTGCATGGTGGTTTGTCTCCATACTGTAGGATGTACTTTTTTTCCTACTTTTACTTGGGCAAAATTCACTGTGCAGAGCCTGATTCTTTTCCTACCTTTAATGAAACTTCGCTATGGTTTGCCCCCCCGGGGGGCGGGATTCTTGGTGTTGCCAGATGTGGTGGTGTGTGTCTGTAATCCCAGAACTCAGGAGGCTGAGGCAGGAGGATTCTTGTGAATTCAAGGCCAGTTTAAGCTACAAAGGAAGTTCAAGGCCAGCCTGAACTGCTTAGCAAAACCCTGTCGCAGAGAGACCAAAAAAAAAAAAAAAGAAGAAGAAGAATGTAGAGTTCACATTGTACACTACTCAAACCCTTAAAACTGAACTACTTATCTAGATATGGGGATAAGCCCAAGCACCTGTGGCCCTCTGTCCCGAGGCTGGCTTCTGTCAAAGAAAGCTGTTTAGCCCACCCTTGAATTACTCTCAGAACATCTCAGCAGCTTTGGCTCTGAGCTGCACGGAGCCCAGAGACCCAGGGAGGAAAATGTCCTATCTGTAGGCTTGCCATCAGCCCCAGATTCAGGCTGGGAAGATGTTTCTGTTTTGTGAGGGTAAAGGGAGGGATGTGGACAGATGAAAAAGTGTTCTCCAAACCTTAGTGCTTCCATCTTTGATGTTGCTTTTCTTTGATGTTTCATCTCGATTTTTAGCAGTCGGCCTGTCTTAGAGGATTTCTTTTTTCTTGTATCCAGAACCATGCCAGGTGGAAGTGAAGCTGCTGCTGGCCTACAACTCCAGTGCTCGAATTCCAAAATCGCCCTGGATTGAAGGTGCTGAGGTGTCACCGCAGGTGGAAACCAGCATCGAGGGCACCATCCCCTTCAGCAAGCCTGTGAAAGTTTACATAATGCCCAAGCCTGCAAGACGCTGAGTCACAAGCAGTCTTCACGGCCACAGCCCAGGAGGTCCCGCGTAGGTGTCCACGAGCAGATGCCTGGAGCACTTCACTGAACGTGGCGTGTGGGTATAAGGAACATGGGACCCTTACAGTCTCACTTGGTATCACACACAGGATAAGTTATTTTTGCATTAAAAAACCAAAAACATTACACTGTACTTCTCCCCACTGCTCATAATAAAGTTGAGAAAACACTGAGGTCTGCTACTTTCTGCTCCTTAAAAAGTATGTGTGGCCATGACTTCAGCATTTATTCCTCATACTTACACGCTTAATGCTGAGATATAAAATGCAATTTTCTAGGCACTTCCAAAGAGCTGGTTATTTGAGGCATAATCTTGTTTCTTAAAGTAACAGTCTGTTTGCCGGGGCTAACCTGAAAGCTACTTTAACAGCTGTGGTTTTTTACCACAGAGTTTCTGAAAGACCTTAGACATTGGTTGTTTTGCTGAAAGGCCTCTTCCCTAACTCATACAGTTGGGGGGCCAAGGATTGACTGAGCAGCTGGAGAATGAATCATTTTCATCTGGAGGGGAATTTTTGATCTTGCTTGCCATTTCCTTGGGGCCCTTTTGCCTTTAATAAAATGAAATAAAACAGGAAAGCCATATTTTAGAAAAGAAATCAGCACTGTGGGATTCAGCATAAGGATACATTAACAACAGTCTGTGCCTTGGAGAGGCTAACTGCGGCAAGGCCTGTGCTGTGCACTTTTCCTATTTGATCTTCACAACAGCCTAACATGGCATGCAGATTAAACACGTGGTGAAGCCTGTATTCACTGAAATCCCAGAAGATGCCAAAGGCCTAAGCTACGCTTCCTCAGGGGCACTGTGTGGGTACTGTGGTTTGAGTGTGTCTCCCAAAGTTCATGTGTTGGGAACTTAATCCTCCACACGTTAGTGTTGGGAAGTGCGGTCCATAAGAGGTACGGGTTCATGTTATTGTCATGGAGAGTGTCCGTTACCACAAGAACAGGCTCGGTGTGAAAGCAAGTTTGGCTGTACTCTTTCTTGCCCTCTCTTGCCCTTCTGCCTTCCACCATGAGATGACACAGCACCAAGACTCTCACCAGATGCCAGCCATGTTCTTGGACTTCCTAGCCTCCAGAATTGTAAGCCATATAAATTTCTATTCATTATAAATTACTCATTCTCAGATATTCTGTTATAGTAGCAGAAAATGGCTTACGACAATGGCAAACAGACTTCAAATCTTTAGCTCAGTGTGCCTCGGTTTCCTTATCCGCAAAACAAATAATATGTCAAAAGTTGTTGACTAGGATGGATTAAATAATGCTTAACAGAATCGGAGTCTGCAGCAGGCTTGATCATATATAGTACTTGGAGAGCCCATAAAAATAATAGCAAGATTCTATAGTTGCTCAGAGATGGAGGTGGAATTTAAATTCAAGCATGTTTGGACTTTTAGTTGGGTGCACTTACTGTGTGCCTGGCCCTTTACACAAATTAACTTGTTTAACCTGAATGACCACCCTGTGAGGCGGGTACTCTCTTCAAATAAAGCAGCTGAAGTTCAGAGAAATTAAATGTCCTGTCTTAGGTCATACTACTTGAACCCAAGCAGGCAGTCTCCCAACAGTTTTAAAACTCCGTAGAGGGTCAAGGAAGGGAAATTATCTCCAAGGAGTGGACATCAGTGTTTTCACATGTTTTATACATCTTGAGAATGTGCTAGCAGTGGGCTCTACATGTGAACACAAGAAGAGACCCCACAGAGAGGTGCCTGCCTTAGAGAGAAAGTGAGCCTTGAAGCCAGGCTGGAGTGTACCACCACCTTCACCTGATGCCAGTGGCCAGGAAGGAACATACATGAAAACATTTAAGACCCATGGCTGCCAACTGAGCACATCATGCCACAACTATCAGGTATGTTCCCAGGGATAAATACACTGGGTACTTTTCAGATGTAGTGCTTTCTTTATAAAAATCATCCCAGCTTACCCCTCATTTTACAGGTGGGGAAACAGGCTGCCTGCCATGGACACCTGAGCCGTGTAGAATGTAGAGAGGCTGCTTAGGCCCTTTCTGCAGCTCCTGCTACATGACAAGCCGTGTAGAATAAATAAGCCCAGAGAGACAGAGTTGGTGGTGATGCCAAGGCTGGAACCCAGGTCTCCCAATTCCTAATCCAATGTGGTTTATATAACAAGGGTCTGTTGTTCCTAGCAAGTGGTCTAGCACACAGCCGGCAGTCAGAGCACCAGATGCCTTCCTCATGCCTCACACAAGCAGCCATCATGTCCTTTGGATTCTGCTTCCTTAAATGTTCGAAGTGGGTTGGGGATATAGCAGCAGCACAAGTGCCTGTGTGGCAAGCACAAGGTTGATTCCTGGTACCGAAAAATAAAAATTAAATGAATAAAATGTTTGAAGCCATCCTCATTTATTACTGTTTCCATCCGGGTTCAGCCACCATCACTTCTCAAGTATGACGTTCGCCTCCTGATGGTGTCCTGTCTCAGTCTTGCTTGCTTCAGCACAACTCTTGGCACACACCAGGTAAGGAGAGAACGGAGGAGCCTGTGAATCCAGGGTAAACTTAACAGGGCCGTGGTATGCCTACAGAAGCAAGCCCAGAGAGCCCAGTTTCTGAAAGGACTTTATGGATTTGGCTTTCCCATGGTGTAACTGAAGAACCTTGTCTTAGGAACCACTGCATTAGAGGCAAGTGGGCAGACTGAGGGTTGTGCGCACTCAGTCTGTGCCTCAGATTGAACTGGAGGATTTTAAAGGTTAATACATGGGACTGAGTATACTGTCATATTGAAAAGAACATCTTCACTCAGGTTTTACATATTTCTAGCATTGACCACGTGGACCGGATTTGGAAGTAAGGACTATCAGCAGGTTTTACACAACCTTTAATAACCCACTGGCAGATACCACTGTTTTCTTTAATGTAGAGACAATTCGCAGGAGCAGTTGTGACACCCAACCTTGATTGACCCAGTGCCCACTGGAGCTGGCTCACCTTCTGTTTGACCCCCCAAAGACAGGGAGCAGGGAGAATGCAGCAGGGAGACTGCATCCATAGAGATACAGTCTGAATTCCATCAAACATCCCTCCTAGCCCATCAGGGCTGCCTCTGTGAGCTGAGAACAGATCTAGAAAGACGCTGTCACCTGACAAACGCAGCAGGAGCTGCAGAAAGGGCCTAAGTAGCCTCTCTACATTCTACACTGGGGTCAGGTCTGTGCAATGTTCACTCCTAGGGCCCTCTAGGGAACCAGAAGGGGCACCCTCGAAAGAGTCCACTTGCTCAGCGAAGTCTGGAAAATAACTCACTTCCCATTCTGATTCTCTTGGTTCACTTTTTCTGGCCATGCCGCATCTTAGCTTGCTCTGCAGACCAGCTCCCAGTCAGACACCTAAGTGGGCTGTGTAGGGCTGTTTCCAACATTTGGGGCTGTTGCTTCAACAATGGCTGAGGCAGAGGGCTTTTAATTAATTATGGCCCAGTAAAGAACACATCTGGCAAACATCTAGTTAAAACGGCTGCCAAGGCAAGTTTTCTTCGGTGAGTTAGTGGACCCTTCATTAAGACTCGGCTCAAGTGTCACCTCCGTGGTGATGTTCTCCCTAGTTTTCTTTCCATCCTGATAAATTAGTCTTTTGTGTGTGTGCCATTATTGTACTTTGTCACTATTATAATATTAACACTTGTATCATTGTCTTTTTTTACATAACTCAAGTCAGGCACTATAATTTACATTCCTGTACTCTCAGGGTCTTGTAACAACCGTTATAAGAAGTTAGTAATAATTTTCAGTAAATGGGCTTGAAAGAGAATTGTTGAATAAATAAGTGAGATAGTTTCTTTGGGCCCCAAAGTTCTATGAATTCATGAAATAAGTTGCTATTTTACAACCATAAAATGAAACTAGTTGGTTTACACCAAAGTCCCATGAGTGGAAAGATGATGACAGCAGGGGTTTCAGTGCAGTGAGTCTACTGCAGGCCAGGCAGTGCGCTAAGACTGTGTACGAATTACCTCACTTAATACCCACGGAGACGCCAGGTACTAATATTTTCCCTATCTGACAGATGAGAACAATGAAACGCAGAGACATTAAATAAATGCCCAACCACTGAGTAGCAGGAAACGTAGTTCAAAAATCAAGGCTATTTGGCACCATATCCCGTGCCCATAGATTCTGGTTTTGTTTTTTTTTTTTTGACAGGGTCTTGCTTTATACTTCTGGCTGGGCTTGAAATCACCAAGTAGCCCAGGCTGGCTTGAACTCATGGTGATCCTCCTGCCTCAGCTTTGAATGCTGGGATTACAGGCATGCGCCACCATACATGGCTCATAGCTCTTTATAGAGGAAGAAATATATGAAATAGGTGGTGCTGATAATTTTAGTTCTTTTAGTCTGTTCTAAAGTTTCACAAAGCATACTTGAGTATTTAATGAAACAGACTGTCTGAGCCAGTAGGGACCTGCAGAGCACACTTCTACTGTCACTTCCACTTCATCCAGGGCTCTGTTCTGACTCCATATCTGAAATAGCCTTCATCACTGTCTTCTTACTCTATTTTTTCTTAGCTGATTCTACATATTGTATTTATTTTCTCCACTAGAATGTAAGCTACACGAAAAGGCCTTTTTTGGCGGGTAGGCAGGGTTTCCAGAGCCTACAGCAGTGCCTGAAGTATAAAGTGCTTAAGAAATACTAGTTGGGTTGATGGCTAAACATTCCAAAGCATCAAGTGGTACATGACTTCAGTGTGCTAAAACTTTTCTTCACCTTCAAGGCACAGCCTTTATTTTTTTCTGAAGTTTCGCACACTTCAGCCTAATGCTGCATTACTCAAATTCAGTAAACAAATGTCTCATCTTTTTGATATTCAGCAACCTCAAAGACGAGGACTGTGACTTAGCTAGCTGTCCATGTACCTCTGGAGCCTGGCACACGCACGGGTGTTCAAAAGTGTGAAGGAGGCTGACGAGAGAAGAGTGAGTCACAGGCATCGGTGCTTAGTGGTTTATTGTGTGGTGAGGGCTCCATTAGCAAGTGGAATGGAAGACGCCGCCTACTCTGACCCCCTGTGCAACCAAGGCATTGTATTCCTTCACTGCCTGCTCTGTCTGGAGGACCCGCACATCAATGCCTTGTTTCCTGAGGTACTCCACGGTAGATGGAGGCACCTGGGGAGGAGGAAAAGAGAAGAGTAAGCGGGGAGGCCCCGAGAGCTTGCTTTCCTGCTACAGGGAAGGGCACGCTACAGAATTAGACAGTAACATCTGTCTCTCCTCAATCACCCAGAGTGTCACTTGTCTAAAATTTGGCAGTGAGCCTCAGTGACTCAGAGAGGCCTCTAGGGTTAGAGATGTAGTTTGGTGGTACAGCATATGTGAGCACTCTTGAGGCACTGAGTTAATCCCTAGCACCACAAAAAAAAAAGGTGCTTGGAGGTGACAGAAATGTAAACAGCTCAAGTGAAGTAAAAATGAGAAAAGCGTGGATTTTGTAGTAAGTCTTTGATTTAAGTCCTTACTAGCAGTGTGACCCTGGGTAAGTGAATTAAATTCTCAGGCCCTTCTTTCCAGATCTACAGATTAGGGAGACTAACACCTAGTTCCCAGCACCGGAATAAGAAGTAGGCAAAGGTATGGAAAATACCTAGCATGCTGTAGAACCCAAACTGCATACATTTAAAAGATCTGAGTTGGTTTAATCTGAGTTTAAATTTTTAATTTTGCCACTTTTCAACCAAAAGATCTTTGATTAGTTCAGGTGTCTCAGTCCTAATTTCTCTACCTGTAGAGATAAAAATGCTTACATCACACAGCTGGTGTGAGGATGGAATCAGCTGATATATGTGTACTGCAGCTCAGGAAGGCCATTCTTGATCACCCCTAAAATGCCCTCATAAGTCACCTTTTGTTTAGAGTATTTATTCTGTGAAACTGTCTAGTTTTTATTATCTATGAAGAGGATGAAACTTGTATTTATCTCAGTGTCCTCAGTGCCTACAACAGTGCTGATCTATAGAAAATGCTTACTGTGTCTATGTAAATTAATTTATATAGCAGACAGTCTCAATACTGGCAGCTCTTATTTGATGATATAATTTCTTTTTTCTTTTTTTTTGGTGTCTTTTTGAAACAGGGTCTCGCTATGGAGTTCAGGCTGGCCTTGAACTCACTTTATAGCCAAGGCTGGTCTTGAACTCACAACGATCCTCCTGCCACAGCCTCCTGAGTGCTGGGATTACAGGCATGTGCCACCACGCCCGACTGGATGATATTTCAATTCTGGCTTGTCTTGAATTCTTTTTTTGTAAAAACAGTTAAATTAGATCATGCCACCTAAGAAAGAGGTGGATAAAATATTTTTAATATGCTATATATTACCTTTCTGTATGTATAAAATATTTGTGAAAGAAGCCTTATATATAGAACTTATTGTAATGCGAAAGACTAGTTTAGATTTTAAAATTAAATTAATAAAAGGCCACTTCATCAGTATGAAAGAGGACTATAGGACATCTATATAAAGGGAAGAATGAGGTAGCACTCATAATACTTACATGGGAAGCTATCTATATTGTATTGGGGAGGAAGTCACAGGACTGTACATATAGTGTGATCTTTTTTATATGTTCGTTATATATACATGCAGATCTGTATGTATAAGCATGTACATATTTGTAGATACATACAGAGAGCACTGGAGAGATATATACCATATGTAGTGATTGGCAAGGGGATATCTTTTACCTTTTTAAATCTACATTGCATTCTGCATTAAATCTTTGTTTTTATTAGCACATGCTTGCAATGCAGAATGAACACCTTCGTTGTGGGTGGGTGGTACATGTACATGACCTATCTGAATTCTTTTTATATACCTTTCTTCTCCCCTTTCCCAAAATTTTAGTCCCCTTCCCATTTGCCAATGATCTAGCTCCCTATTTCCTATTTTTGCATGAAGTCTTGAATTAACTTACTTATTTTTATTTTGTGGTTTTTTGTTTTTTGTTTTTGGTTTTAGACAAAGCCCTATGATGTAGTGTAGGTTGGCTTTGAACTCACTAATGTAGCCCAGGCTGACCCTGAACTCACAGCCTCCCGAGTGCTGGGGTTAAAGGAATGTGCTACCACACCTGGCTTTGACTTACCTTATACTGAACAAGTTTTCTGTTTATTAGTATATATTTGCAGTACATACTGTTCACATTCCTTGTGTGCAGCTGGTACATGCACATAGCACATCTTTCCTTGTTTTACACATAACACATCTTAATGGCATTCTTTATCGCTTTTCCCTTCCACTTCTTGACTCCCTTCCCTGTTGAGAACAATCCATGTTCCTTTCTATTATCTATATTTTCTCATAATTTTGGGTTGTCATTCATGCATGTGATATTTAAGCTTGTGTGTCTGATTTATTTCACTTAATATGGTCCCAAAGTGGATCCATTTTCCTACAAATAGCTCAAGCTTCTTTCTTTTTATAGCAGAGTAGTACTCCATTGTGTATAAATACATTTTCTATCCACTCATCTGTTGAAGGACTGCTTGCGAGACTTAGCTATTATGAACTGTGCTGCTATAAACACGGGTGTGCATGTATCACTGTAATATGATCCCTGGGATAGTATTTAGGAGGGAATAACTGGGTCAAATGAATAGGTATTATTTCTATAAGTGAAATTTGCCTCCTGAAAGAGGCAAAAAGCATACCTTGAATGTGTCCATGAAAAGAAAAAGCACTATAAAATGTAAAGCAGTATTACAATGTAAAGCATCAAATACTGTCGTGTGCCTCATAACGGATGTTTAGTCAGTGACTGCGTGTAAAGGCTTTCTCGCCTGGTGACGTTTTGCAGCGTCTTGGTGTGAGTACATGCTGTGGTGGTGTGAAGACAGTGAGGAAATCACCTAAGGACATACTGCTTAGGATGTATCTCTCATTAAGCAGCGTATGACCGTACTGATCACTGTGGAACTTGAGCACTTCTAGAACTGAGGTATTTCTGAGAAACAGCTGAAACAACAGTCTCGGGTTTAGGTAGACCTGGAGAGCCCAAACCTGATGAAGCAAGATAGTGGATGTGTCATCCAGTGGTTCAGCAAAAGGAAATACAGAGATCACCTCTGAAAAAGGACATGTCTGTAGAGGTAAAGGTCCAAGAGACTGCCACTGTCTGCAGGAATGCCGTGCATAGCACTACCTACCTTCAAGGCCTCGTTCATCCCTCGGCCAATCACAAGGGTCTGCACACCCTTCTCCACAACCTCCTTCACATCTGCAGGCTGTACACCAGGAGAATGCTGGATGTGAAATGAGAAAGCAGAAAAGGTACTAATCCTTTGCAACAGGCATTCCTGTGTGTGTGTGTGTGTGTGTGTGTGCCTGTGTGCCTGTCTGTGTGTGTGTGCGCGCGCGCGCGCGCGCCTGTGTGTGTGTGTGTGTTTCTAGGGATTGAACCTAGGGCCTCAATGCATGCTTGGAAGTGCTCTATTACTGGAGGTGGAGGTATATCCCCAGCCCTTTTACATTTTCAGAGTGAGTCTTGCTAAATTCCTTCAGCTGGCCTTGAATTTACAATCCCCCTGCCTGTCTTCTGAGTAGCTGGGATTATAGGTGCACACCACAGTGCCTGGCTGCAGTAGGCATTCATATAGGATTGACCGAATGAATCATTCATTCACTCATTTATTGACGAAGTGTTTACTGAGGCTTACTTTGTGCCAAGCATCTGAGTCCTGACAATAAGAGAGAAGACAGTACTTCCCTTAAGGAGCTCCAAATCTAGTGAAAATTTTAAAAGACCAAAAAGAAATTTCAGTAATTGTACAAGTGGTACAGGAATTAAGTTCAGGGTACTACGAGACTATATATAAAGGAAGTGGCCATGGTGCCATGCACCTGTAATCCCAGCACTCAGGAGGCTGAGGCAGGAGGACTGCTGCAAGTCTGATGCCAGCCTGGGCTACATCGTGAGTTCAAGGCCAGCCTGCACAGCATAGTGAGGCCCTGTCCCAAAAAACAGAACGAAACAGAAACACACCCAAGAATATAAAGGGCACCTAATTCATACGTGGGAGGTTGGGCCAGGTGGTCAGGGAAGATGACATTTAAGATGACAGACTCAGAGATGAGCAGGAAGAGCCAAACTAAAGGAAATCAAGGAAACAAGACTTCATATAGAGGGAATAATACATACAAGGGCTGAGAAGAAAGAAAAAGCTTAGCAAACTACAGGTAGTTCAGCACAACTCAAATGTAGATTCACAGAGGTGGCAGGAAAATACAATAGGTACAGACTATGTTAAAATTTGGACCTTAAAAATCTCAGCACTAGAGAGGCGGGGGCAGACAGAGGCCAGCCCGGGCTACACAGTGAGTACAAGGCCAGCCTGAATTACATAGTGAGACTCTCTCAAAAAACAACAGAAAAACAACCTCAAAAAACTTTGCAACAATCTTTACACTTTTCCTTTTCTGAACTCCTTTCCCTCTGAAGTCCAGGAAATTTCTTTTTATCCTTTAAAACCTATCCCCCTGTGTGGTGTCACATGCCTGTACCTCCATCTAATGACCACAGAGAGGTGCTCTGCCCAGTAACTGGCCGATTGCAGGTAAATAAAAATTACTTGAAATGTGAGCCTAATCTTCCCCACGGCAACCTCTTTATCTGTACACACTGGTGTCGAAGAGCGCAAAAGGCCAATAGAAAAGATTGAAGGGAATATTAAAAAAACTGGTAAACAGCAGAGTCCAAGAATATGGGAAGCCAGGTACATAGGCAGATGCCTGTAACCCTAGCTCCTCAGAAAGCCAAGGCAGTAGGATCACCTGAACATACATTCAAGGCCAGCCTGGGTAACATGGATCCTGTCTTTAAAAAAATGGGAACACAAACTATATCCAAAGTAGAAGATAATGAGTAGGAAACAATATAGGAAATGAAGAAAACCTTAAATTTGTTCAATAAATAGAAAATTGAACAGTCCTGTGTCTGTTAGAAACTGAGTTTAAAATTTAAAACCTTTCCATGGGGCGGGTGTTCTAGGCACAAATGACTTCTCTGGCAAGTTATTAATTTTTTTTGTACTGGGAGTCAAACTCAGGACCTTGTGCTTCCCAGGCAGGCGCTTGTGCCACTGAGCTATGTCCCTGGCCCAAGCTGTTAAATATTTAATGAAAATGTCCAGCAAAATAATAGCAAATCCAAGGTTGGTCCAACACTCAAAAGTCATTAAGCAGCTGGGTGTGGCTGGGTGTGTCTGTAATCCCAGAACTGTGGGAGGCTGAGGAGGAGCCCAAATTTAAGCCCAGTATGGGCAACTTAGCTACTTAGACCCTGTCTCAAAATTTTAAAAAGGGCTGGGGACGTAGTTCAGTGTGAAGGCCCTAGGTTCAATTCCCAGTACTGAACCGTCCACCCAAGTCGTTCATTATAGAACGAAGAAAAAACATGGCGCTGGGGGTAGAGCTCAACGATAGGTTGTGTACTTAGCACACTGAAGTCCTAGGTTCAATCTCCCTGCATCCTCCTAGAGGAGGAAGAAAACTCGTGATCATCTCAAATGATGCAGCCAAAGCACTGGACAGTGTTCACCAGCTACTGACGATCTCGTCTACAGACTCCCAGCAAACTAAACTAGCAAGGCACCTTCCTCACTGCAGTAAAGGACCTTGGAGAAAAACCTACAGCTAAACACGGACTCTGGTATTGGAATACTACCAGTTTGTCGCAGATATCAGTCATAATGGATATCAGGTAGATATTTACTTCCTCATCATTTATTTAACCTGTTCATTCTACCCTGTCCACTGCCATTTTCTCTTGTTTGGACCTAACTTGCAGACTGTTCCACATAAACTACTTGAGCCCTTTCTAATGATCCATTCTTCAAAGTGTAGCCAGAATGATCTTTTAAAACACCAGTTTGTTCATCCCACCCTCTGCTACACAGCATCCAGCAGCTTCTCTTTGTCCTTGGAATACCAGGTTCCTTAATGTGGCTGGTTAAGTTCACAGCGGCCTGTCTGGCCTCACAGTCTACGCCTTCCTCTTGCACTGTGCTCCAGCCAGACTGGCTTCCAATAGTTCTTCTACCAGAGCACAAACTCCCTCAGCACCGTTGAGAAGAGTATGAACTGGACAAAATGTTTGTGTATCACATATCTAACAAAGGACTTGTATTCAGAATATATAAAGACCTCTTAAAACACAACAAGAAGGCTGGGCATGGTGGCGTATGCCTATAATCCCAGCACTTGCGTGGCTGAGGCAGGAGAATCGTTTGCGAGTTAGAGACCAGCTTGGGTTACAAAGTGAGCTCAAGGCCAGCCTGAACTGCATAGTGAGACCCTGTCTCAAAAAGACAATCAAAAAAACCAAAAAACCCCTCAAAACAAAAAATAAAACACAAGAACATCCAGTTTTAGAAATTGGCAAAATATCTGAGCAGTTTATTAAAGCAGATCTATTGACGGCTAGTACACACAAAAAGGCTATCATTAGTCACTGTGAAAATACACACTAAAAGCACAGCGAGACACCAAATGCTGGAAAGGATATAGAGAAGCTGTTATCTCATATACTGCCAGTGGGAAGGCAAGATGTAGAGCTACTCTAGAAAAGTCTGGCAGCTTCTCGTGAAGATAAACATATGCACCTCAGCAATCACACCTCCTGGGTATTCATCCTACAGAAATGAAAGCTCGTGCTCACACAAAAACTTGTATGCGAATGTTCCCGACAGCTTTATTCATAGTAGCCTAACAGCTTTCTTTGTAGCAGTCAAAAACTAAACAACTGAAGTGTTCATTAACTGGTAAGTAAGCTGACTGTACTACAATTCAAATCACGGAATATTACTCATCAATAAAAAAAGAATAATGACACACATGGCAACATGTATGAGTCCAGGAAGTATGCTAAGTGAAATGAGTCCTGAAAGATTACACACTGTATTACTTCATTAGGACAGATTTTAGTAAGATACTTAGATAATAATATTTGTTAATTTCCTGATTTTGATTATTGTGTTATGATTATGCAACAAAATGTCCTTGTTTTCTTAGGAAATACACACAGGTATTTAAGAGTAAAGGGGTACAAGCCCATTGTGGTGGTGCATCCCTGTAATCCCAGCATTTGCGAGGCTGAGGCAGGAGTACTGCCATGAGTTTGAGGCCAGCCTAAACTACACAGTGAGTTCAAGGCCAGCCTCAACTATGAGACCCTGTCTCAACAAAACAAACAAACAGAACAAAGGGGTATAGTAGCTTCAACATACTCAGTTGAGACGGAAATTATCTGGAGATGAAGAGGATGATAACATACGACAAAAAGTTAACTTTTGGTTTGAGAGAAAGATACATGAGAATTTTTTGATTCTTATAACCTTTTACAAATCTACAATTATTTGAAAGTGATATATATGTATTTTTAGAGTGTAGTGGGGCCTGGATATAGCTCAGTGGCACAGCATCTGCCCGGCAAGCGCAAGGTCCTGAGTTCAATTTCCGGTACAAAACAAAAAAATGTAGTGTTTTACGCATGTTACAGATTAGCAGAAAGAGACCTCAGAGAGACACACACATGCCTGTTTGTTCCTGCCCTCTGACTTCACCGAAGCCCCAGAGCTGACCAAAAACCAGGTGCTATATGCAGAAAGCTGCAGCACATTTTTGTAAGCTTTCCCTATGTCTCTGGGCCCCTTATGGAGTGTGCACCTGTTGGTGCCATTCTTCACCCATATTCCCGAGCTGGTAACAAAGCCAGATTCTCTGTCATTACTCCCTTTTGGATTCAGGCTTATACTAAGGCTGTATGTGCTCAAGTCTGAGGGAATATCGGGCTGGTACAGGCTGGAAGCTCTGCACATCAGAGAGCGGCCAGACTCACGGCAGCAAAGGTGCAGCCTCCTCTTGGCTCAGAGCACAGAGCAGTGCCCGGGTGTCTGAAGATCCCGCCTTCCCCGTTTACCACAAAGACCAGAAGAGATCTGGGGAATTGAGATTGTTTTCTTACAGGTATTTAAGCTTGCAACTTTAAAAGGCTTTAAATGAAGTAAGATGTATTTTCACATAATACAACTAGTTTTTAGAGAGTGTAAGAGGAGTGGATTAGACACCCTTTGAAAAAAAATTTCAAAGCTCTGTTATTAATCCTAGAACCACCATGAATTGAATAAATCTGATTTAAAGAACTTAAATTTTCTTTTCTGAGGATAGTCCCAGTGAATATTTAACAGAATTACAAATCAGGGTGGGAGATCCTCACCACCCTAAAGTAAATGCTGTACATGAGTTA